ATATGTATCTTTTTTTTTTCTCAACAGAATTAGTGAGACATGGATGTAGTTTTTGTATTACAAAAAACAAAGGAAATATTTATTTCAATACTTGTGAATTTTTCAATGATGGTGTATAGTCTTGGTGTTACTGTTCAAAGTCAAACAAGACTCGTAGAGGTAGTCTGATATAAACAAACCTATTTAATATTTAAATTTGTTATCTCTAACACCGGAATCATTCCTTCTGTTGCCTTTTAAAAATTCTTCTCAGTCTAATGAATGAAAATGGTAAGACTAATAATTAAGTTCATATTTTAACTGCATCATGGATTTGTTCCTAACTTCCTAAGATGGGTTTTCTCCTTCATTGTTTTGTGTGAAATGAAATTTTTTTTATATGCATAGTTTCCATGAAATACAACCACTTTGTCATACTGTATTAAAAATTAAAGGAACGTGAAAAGGAAGAAGGAAATTAAAAACAAAAAATAATATAAAAAAAAAACAGTGGGAAAACTCAGGTTTGTTCCTTGCCTATAGAATCTCTTGAACTGTATTTACAAATCTATGGACTATAGAGATCTGTTTCTTCTCTATTTCTGTTGATTATTAAATTGTTAGGCGTATGTGAGCTTTGCTACCTTTTCTACTCAAATATTTCAATACTCACAATGTAAACATCAGATTCTGAGTAAAAAAATGTTCATAATGCTATGTATATACAAATGTCAAATAAGCAAAATATGAATATTATTAGGTCTTAGGTTAAAAATTTTAAGTCACTTTAAATTTAATTAAAAACTGTTTGTCTAATTAAAACGTATTAAATCTGGAAAAACAAACAAACAAAAAGGTGTAGTTTTCAGCCATAATACAGCTTTTCCAAATGATGGAATATATTTTTGCCTCAGATTTGCATATTTAAGGCAAAGCTGAGAACATGTGTGAGCTCTTGAACTGTAGATTTAGATAAATGGGTAATATCTGAGAAAGGAAGGATCATGATAGAGCATTAAGGCAATGTAATAAAGTTTTATCAGGACTAAAATTTTGAGATGCTTTAAATTCAGTACCTTGCTATGTTTTTTTTGTTGTTGTTGTTTGTTTGTTTTTCTGTGACAAACAGTAATTCAGTGCCAAGTGCATTAAACTGGAAGATAAATAATTCTATTATAAGCTTCTATTTTGCAGTCTTAGACAAATCTTCATTGTATACAGTCTTCAATAGCAGTCTTGTGTAAATACTCCATTTGATTTTGTCATTTTCAGACATTGCCTCACATAACTCCTTTAGGAATAAACATATAATACAGATGTGAAAAAGAATTAACAAATATAATCCAATACAAAACAGATTGGAGTGTCTTTCATCTGTGGTCCACTTAGTCTTAACTCATCCCTAGTGAGTGTATGACTCTTGGCTGAAGAAAATAAGCAAGCAATATCCAAATGTTCTTTAAATGTTTCAGTAATGGTGTTGTTACAGACTCAAATACGCAATTGTACTGGATCTTGTACAAATGGGGCTCTTGAGAAAGAAGTCAGAGTTAAGCCATAGTTCAACAAACAAATATTTGTATCCTAATGCAAAAGTTTGGTGAAATGAAGACATTTACAGGAGTTGAAATATCAACCTGTATTCATTTGTTTGTTATTTTAATCCATTTTAAATACTACAAAACTCTTGTACATCATAGCACATAAATGTTTTTGCCAACAAATGCATCTTTTAAAGCTAAAATTGACAGTTTTTCTATCTGCAGCTGAACCAAGTGTTTTCTTCACTAAAGCTTTTACACACTTTTATTTTGTTCTTGCCCTTTGAGGAAGTTATTGTACTTGGCTCTCTAGGAGCTATGAATATAAATAAAGTCTTTAGCTTTTGGGTGTTGAACCTTTAAAATGCATATAAAGTATAGGAAAAGTGAAAAACTATTCCAAGGCCTCAGCAGAGAGACACAATAGGGTCCTCTTCTGTTACCGGAGTAAATCAGGGCACATTCCAACACAAGTTAAACATTTACTTTCTAGGCTGAACATAGTATCTATCTGGACCAAGAGTGAATATCTTAGATAAATTAAAACTGTTTTTGTTTTTCTATATATAAAGCTACATGAAAATGCTGAATTTGACAAGAAAAAAGGCTTTTTTTTTTCAGGAAAAACCTGGAAGGGTCTTTACAGACAAGAGGAGTCTGTTCTACTTCTTTTGGAGATCCTCATTTTGAAAATTTAGACTGAGAACCTTTTGAGCAAAACAACACTTTGATTCATTCATTCAAAACTATCAGTTTTCAATAGGCTATCAAAGATGTATATATAATAATAATAATGTAAGAAGTTTCCAAACACTGCAGGCAATTGCAGATGTAATAACTTTAGTTTTATTGTTCATTTACTTACTGTTAGATCAACCTAAAAACTATTCTGTTGTGTTGTTTTCAACTTGTAAATGGCGGATAAAATATGTTTTTAATGACTATACAAAAGTTGTTCTGGCAGGTGTTACATGCAAGAATGTATATTGTTCAGGAAGAAGGAAAGAAGGTACTTATTTCTGGCATAATAGAGAAACCAGCAAAATCACATGCTGTTAATTTTGAAGAATTTGTTTTCATTTTTCTTATTGACTTTTGTCTAGATTCAACCCGGCAGGCAGCTAATAACTACACAACCACACACCCTTGGGATGAGGGAGAAAACTTAACAAAACAGAAATCTTGTGTTAAGATAAAAACTATTTACTAACACAGAGGTAAAAGAAAAAAATAAGACAAATAAATATCTCCACAATGCAACTACCCACCTCCTGATTCCCAACTAACAATATAACAGTACAGACTGATGACCTGCTATATGACAAGATATATCTAATGCCTAGATGTTTACTATAACTGATGTTTGCATTGTTTTACCTATTACTATCTAACAAGAGTGACTACACAGGTTATTTGAGCAAGGAATGATTCTGAAGTAATTTGTGATCTGGCACATTTATCTTTTAGGGCACAGAAATTAGACAAATGGAGTGCAATGTCTGTAATGTCAGAAAATGTGCTATGGGATGGCTCTCATTTGTATACAAACGGGGGGAATGAGTTTACATACACTGAGTATTCGCTACATGTTATGAAAAATTAACTGTGCTCCAGCTAGGACTGTATAAACTGTGTACACCATTATTTACCTCACTTGACTACTTGCTGTATAGTCATAATGATTGCTGCTGGGGGGCTTCTGGTAGGACAAACCATTGAAAATGGAATGAAGTGAAGAAAGGTAAATAAGAAAATACCTCTGTGAGTTGTTTATCTCAAATGTATATTTCATAAGAGATCTGAAGAGTCAAACAAGTATCTTTGCTCAAACTTCCTCAATTTTCAGTGATCATGCTACATACTATGCACAGCACAATGTGACCAAAATTAGCATGTTAATTACAGTCCTGTTTTTATTATGCCTCTTTTTTGGAGAGGAACACTGTTATTCCTGCTGTGAAAATAGTACTTTGCAATTTATGTTATAAAGTCTCTCCTGGGAAGCTGTGTAAGGAAGATTAAGGAACAAAACACAGCTGCTTGACAGTCACACAAAAGGATTTTGTGAAATACTCAAAAAAAAAAAAAAAAAAAAAAAAAAAAAAAGAGAGAAATGTAGCCAGTACAATTTAAGTTTAAAGTTTAAGTAGAAACTTACAAGCCAGTGTGGAATGGCATTCAGATTTTGTGAAATGGCTTACAAAGTAGTAAAGTACTAGGAATACTTAGATGAAACACTATAAGCTATTTTGAATTATTTTCTTTCAGAATGGGAATGTATTTAGGGAAAATAAAAACACTTGTCTTCTATTCATTATAATTTGAAATAATCTTGTTTTATCTTTTTTTTTTTTTTAATTCTTTAGTGATCTATACATTTTTTAGCGTTACTTTTTTGTGCAGTTCTAATTGTATAATAAACAGATATAAAGGAACTTTTCATGTTAGCAATTAATAATAAAAGCTACAGTCATGCCTTTGTGAAGTTTTATTTTCTTTTCTTACTG